TCCGCGTTTCCGGCAATGGATCCCCCAGCCCTGGCCTCAGCCCTACAGGACGTAGCCGGTGAAAAACAATCTACGACAACGCGGTGTCTTTGGAATGCGATTGCTACGATCAGTGGCCCTTAAAACCTCAGTAGCCCCCCTTCAATAGTGAACTCTGCGATGTGAACGCCCTTACCTTCAGTGTCCGGAGACTGCTGCAAACCTCCGACGAGAGCGGGCGTCTTCTCCGGGCTCCGCAGAGCCCGGAGAAGACGCGACTGTACGTGATCCTGGTATAAACATCGCCGCGCTCCGTCGGCCCGCCGCAGCACGTCCGCCGAGAGATCGGTTCGCTCGAGTCTCGTTCTGCGAGCGGCACGCCCGTTTCTGCTTCGAATATGGCTACAGCCGACATCGCCGCTTCGCAGCTCACCGATATCTCTGCGTCCATCCTGAGACAGGACATGAAAATCTCTCTAGAGCGAGACGACCAAGGTGGGAAATGGATCACCCCTGGAAAGCCCCGCAAATCTCGTCTTCCGGCCAACTTTGACCCCGAACTTCACGTAGTTATAGTGCATCTCCCAGTCCGTCCTGCTGGCGCAGCTGCGCTGCCTCTTGACAGTTTGCCGGCGTTCTTGCAAGCCGCACAGCTCCTTGCTCATACATGTACCGACGTGTCGCTCCACCTCCGGCAAAATAACCGTCCTCCGCACCCATCACGAAGCGATCGTCAACTGGCTACTTCGCATCACCAATATCACCTTACAAAACATTTCCCTTCCCGTCCACTCCTACCTACCCCCGACGAGATCATCAATGATCTGGAGTCTTATCAAGGTGACATTCTTCAAGCAAGGCGAGTAGGCACAACAGGTTCAGCCATCATCACCTTCATCGGAACCCATGTCCCTTACACAGTGTACTACCGCCGCCTTGAATTTCGCTGCCGTCCCCACAAACCTCGAGCCCATCATTGCAACAACTGTGTCGAGTACAGACACCGCACTCTGGCCTGCCCGGGCAACCAGCGACGCTGCCTCCCGTGTTCCACCACCCTGGCCCGCCCAGACGAACCCCATCCCTGTACTCCCTTGTTTTGCGTTGCCTCAACTCGCAGTGTGGTTCTCAAGCAGGGCACTTGGTCCTGAATAAGCTGCTGCACCTTCACTCACTCCATGAGACGCATGCGTGAACAGTTCTAGCGGCATGTAAAGCGTGGATGCAGGATTCGGTTTATGGCAGTCACCTTGACAATTGCTACAGTGGAGCACACTGCTTACAGAAAGGATCGTGCTAAGAACTGTAGGGGTGTGCTGGTCGTGGTACCTTTTCTACTGCCCTTTTGGCGACGCCACGACCTGGAGCTGGAACCTCTCACAAGCATGGCAAGGGGCTGCTATACTGTGCATGCTACCTGGCTTCCGTGAAAGCTGAGTCCTATGACCTGCCCAGCGAGCCGCTGTTGCTCATTAACACGATTTAATTAAATGTGTGCATACTAGACGTCTTCAAGTTGAGTCGCTCGGAGTGCAGTGTATACCATGGAACCATTTCCAGTGGCCCCAAATACTCGACAGTTCGACGGTACAGTGTGCTCAGTCCACTTGTTCTCAACATGTTTATTAATCGTGATCCCTGCAATCAACTCCACTGCTGTTACGGACGACCTGATAGTGGTGCCGCTTATCAGGTGGCCCAAGAAACCACCAGGGTTTGCAGAACAACATCGACAACGTCTACTATAAACAGCCAGCTATGCTTCTTCGCACAGCCTGACGACAGTTTTGTTCAAAACGTGCGGAACACTGGGTTTTGTACTTAGCGTGTCCAGTAGACCAGGCCATAACAGACTTACGTGCCTTTCACCAGTGGCGTACCAAATTGGTTTTGATTCGGGGGGGGGGGGGGGGGGGGCAAACTAAACCCCCTCCCTTCCCCTCCTCCCCCCCCCGGGACCGAGGAGCGGTGCTCTTGGTATCCCTCGGGCGCTGCCAGCCAGTGTTTGCCCTGTCCAGTGTTGACTGTTTTAGGAGGGGGGGGGGGGGGGGCAAAACACATGACTTGCTCCCCCCCCCCCCCCCACTCTAAGAACTGGGGGACAAGCGCCCCCCTTGACCACCCGGTTGGTACGCCCATGCCTTTCACAGCCCTGGTCCAGCCACACCTAAAGTATTGCAGCTCCATATGAGACTCCTGTGAGGTTGATCTTGTAAGATCAATTGAAAGTGTTCATCGAAGGGCAACTATACACTATTCTTCGGCAGCCAAGCTCACTCCGGATCACTCACTGCTTTGACATTGGCTAGAATTCTGGCCCTTCAATGGACGACCAGAGTTGATCTCAAGTGTGGCCCTCCAGCGGGTTGTCTTATTATGCCTCCTAAGCAGCGTTGTGGAACTGCAAGTTCATGAGACAGCACTGAAGGGAGTTGTTTGCAAGAATTGGGCTGGTGCCTTTCAGCCGTTTCGTACTGTAGAGCAACAGCCTTCCTTCTTGGTGTGGTCTTCACTGTTCTTGCAATCCCTTTATTTGCACTCACGCAGAACCCCCCAAACAATCATCACAAGCTCAAAAACATCTGTACACAGGAAACTCGCTACCTTCACTCCCACTGAGGTAGAGCAGTGCCTATGTGCTTTAACGTGAATTGCAGACTTTTACTTGATTTCTATTTTGTGTTTCCCCCCACTTTTATTTGTTCCTTTTGCAGGGTACTGCGGGTTTCTTGGTTTGGCCTCTTTACTATAACGAATTGCTCTTAGCAGGATTAGACGATAAAAGCACTTCTAACGCTTTTATCCTCTACTATGGTACTCTTTGGCACACAACTGTACTATTTTATTCAACCTAACGAAAAACGGGTTTTATGTCCGTTAAGTAAGAAACGGACACACTGTCCGTCAGAATTACGACAAATTGTTTGTAAAATTACGGAAATTTTTTACAGTGATATATAGATGTATACGCCGCCGTCAGCTGTTTCAGCGGCCCCTCTAAAAAGGGGACGCACTGCTACTCAATGCCGTAACAGAATATAGACAGACAGTTTTCTATAGCCTAAAGCTTTATTATTATTTTTTTCTTGATAGGCTTGCAGGGTACAGTGGATGAAAAAAATAAAATAAAAAAATGCACTCCGCCGTCTTGGACGATCACGACTCTAATACACGACATTGCAATAGTACAAATATCACCACACGCCTTTTCGATGATTATAAAAAACAGTGTAATCTTAGCAGCGATATAGCAACGTAGAAATATGATTTCGTGATCAGATAGACGTTGCGAGCGTTCAGGATTGCTAACACTAATCACTTTTCTCCGATGATGAAAACGCGTGAAAATTCGCATCCTTTATACAGTACGCGCCAGTAATACCTTGAACTTGAGCACCCGCATGAAATGCGCCAAATAAGAAATCCGGGCGATGTTCGAGGACACAAATGCTTAGAAAGCACCACTGTAGTCGAAGTAAACAAACACGACGGCACGGGCGTTTCTGCTGTCTTGAGAGTGCCGCCACGAGATCGCCGCACGCGTAGGTGGATCTTCCCTTCTAGTACGTGCTGGGTTCTCATAAAGACACACGACGAAAATTCACAGTCAAGGATAGCGCTTTTACGGGGCACGATGAGCGTTCACCACGCCGTCCATGTCGGCGATCACCACCGACGCCATGTTTGCGGATAGAAGGAGCCGGCCGGCCCGCGACCGGCACGACCGGCCTGCAACGCGCGGAGATACGTGCGCTTCCGCGCATCCCTGGGGAACGGGAAATTCACCCCCCGCGGAGGAAGGCAAGGAGAAAACGTAGTCCCTTGTTTGTGAAACGATAATTGCAGTATCGCGTGTTCAAAACTAGAAATATTTTCCGTCTTGTGAAATTATCATGCACACCATTTTTAAATGAACTGAAAATTGTTCCTTTAGCGAAACTTTACAAAGACCGCCAAAATTTTTAAACATACGATAATTTCATTGGTCCTCGCAAGTACAGAAAAGAGTCCGCACGTATTTTATTCCTGCATGATTAGTAGACGGTTCTGCTTTCTAAAACTGAAGATACTCATTCACTGACACTTCCTTAACGCCATCGCACCAAAACGTAGCTTCTCCAAAAACCGCTTGAGTGCCCCTTTAAGAATTGCAGGGCCTAAGTTATTGTGTTAAGGCTTCATGATTTGTTCTGCGGAATTTTTACCAGATGATACCGCCACCGGATTGGCTGGGAAGCAATAGTCAAATGCGAGTGACTCGCTCTTCTTTTGTTAACCAAATAGACAAATCTAAGGTGGTCGTGGTATTGGAAGCAACACGTTCGGTGTAAACCGCAAGGTGACATTGTTTGCCCCGCTATACAGATGATGTTTTAAAACAAAGTTTTGTAGAAAATCACCCTCAGCGTGCTCTTTTAGTCTTCCGCTACGGCTCCCACCTGAGGCTCGACAGGTAAAAAGACCCGGACAGAAATAAAAATAAAAATGTGGCAGGCGTAAACAAAATTCCTCGTAGAAGTACATCCACAACTGTTGGTGTGACGTGACTATCGACGTGTGCGTAGCGCACCACTTATGAATGCTGTGCGGATGCGCGCATCGAGCAGATGCGCCCCATATTTGACGGGAACAACTGGTGTAGTGGTGTGTTTCACACTTGTGAAGAAGGTGCTTAGAACCAGGGCGGAGTACGTTGGTCTGAGCTCTTTCGGATATGTCGGTAAAAATCGCCATTTTATAAAAAGAACACCACTCCTTACCTGTCATTTCTCATCGCAAGGAAATTTTGGTGCGCATGAATTCATATACCTTTGAAAAGCAGGAATGCCAATTTCGTGAATTAACAATTGCGGTCTTAGTGATTATGTCTTTCCGAAAAGTAAAATTTTAAAGAGAGCTCTCGTACAATCATTCCTATCGCGCATTAGTGAAACACAGAGTCACCGTGTTTGCAGGTTTTCATTTTTTTTCTAAAGGAGTGAGTATTCATTTGTGATTTTTGCACCTTTAGAAATAGCCACGGAAAAAAAATGGCTGCAAGGATTGTGAACCGAGTGATACACTCATCCCTCCCGGATTTCGACGTTGGAAACAGCTACGCTTCCCAACTTATAGAGCAGCGATTGAAGAAATTATCGACCAAGATAATTCTTGTGAGTACGGCTTTATATATATTTCCTGGAGTGTGATTAGAAAGCGTATAATTGTGGAGACACTGGGATCGAATTCCCTGCTTTGTTATGGTGATGCAAGGCTATTTGTTTTCATCTGGTTTTTATTACACTTCTTAATATTGTGTAATGAGCGGGTTTTAAATATGTACCCAGTGCGTTGCTTTGATATAAATGCCGCAATGTTAAGAATAATTGTTTCCAGCGTCTGCCTACGTGACATTGATGAGGGAAATGCGGGGTCGATCAGTAAATAATGCCGCGCTGCGCTACGAACGTAGCTTTTCGGCTATTGACTGGTCACATAAATACCTATGAGATCCAGCATCGTTACTTTGGTGGTACTTCTCAAGTGATTAAAGGTGGCTTGACACGAATTACAAAAGTAAAGATTGAAAAGTCACAAATAGGTAATGTATCGTAAGGAGACGTAGACAAATCAAGGAAAGCGTTAATAACTACCAGGTGTTTTGAGGAAAAAAATAATACACCGTGTTTTCCTCAGCACCAGAGTAAACTTCAGACCACCTAAAACTCCGTCTCCCGTTAGATGTAGCGGAAGCCTAGCTCCGTCACTCCAAAACTATGAGCGATGTTTACATGTCTGGCTTTCAATCATCAGCGTGTTCTGTAGTTCCTCTGGACCTCTGGACGAGCACGAATTTCTGATAACCCGAAATTTCGTCGGTAATCGGGTTTATTCATTTATTCGCTGTCGCCCTTTTAAAACTACAGCAAATTAGCACATTCAATATTTATGTATAGGTTCAAACTTACCAAAAGAGACATTTTTGCAAACTGAGAAAAGACAATCTATAATTGGGTGACGCTCAGTTTGCATAAATGTGTTTCTAAACGCGGAAGTTTTTTTTGTTTTGTTTAATATAACACTTTGTGCATGATGTTTAAAACAACAAGCCGTAGAACCATTTAGTGGTCAATAGAGGATACATTGGTATGTTTCTGGCGCACCGTTTCCGTAGGTGAGCCATCGTTTCACAATCCTTGTTATGTTACCCGTAGCACGCTGCGGACAAAACAACTACCCGCTGATTTTTAGTTACGTGTACTACTGCCTCAACTGCTGATGAATAAAGCTGAGAAGCTCTCCAATTGTGAAATTCTAATGATTTCACTGCAAGTCGTAGAAAGTGGAGTCGGCCGAGCGTCGGCGGCAAAATTCGAAACTGTTCCACAATGTGACCCGCACATGCACGTTGTTCGCGTAGTCTTTTTTTTTACTAATGCGTTAGCATTAGTACCTTCCAGAGTGTCGAGCCGAAATTTTGTATCGGTTAGGTTCAGGTTCACGGATTTCGGTTCAGTTCCGGTTCAGTACCGGGGAGCGAAATGGCTTGAACCGGTTCTGGTTCAAACCGGCTTGAACCGGTTGGAACCGCTAATGTGAGAATATATTTGCCGCGTTGTTTAGGCGATAGGCACTATTTACGTCGTGAAACAAGTAAATATACAGTTATTACCCTTTTTACAGTCCACTTTTATTCACAGCTTCGAAAAATGAGAAATTGCGTTATTTCATTTTCACAAAACAGCAAAAGCAATCAAGACTAACACACGGAATATCGTGTTTATATCATTCAATATCCATTTGTTTATCTTTGTCACTGATATTTGGCTTGAGTATAAATGTGGTCACGAAGTGCGGTGGGTCACCTACAATACCCCTGATGGGTCCAATTTTGTGTCGCAGCCTTAAAAGTCAAAACGTAGCTGTGCTCTGGACTAAGGAAATAATTACAGCGCATAAAAGCATGATATCTGCACATCGCCGATGTGAGTTGTAAAATATATTTTATGAAATACGTTTCAAAATATAGTATATGATTACGACGCAACCGAGCTAGTAGCAGTCGCATTCTTTAAAACGTCTTCAAACATTTTGGGCAAGCCAGTTTTGTTAACCATCTGTAAAAACAGAGCAACAAACAGAACGCTTGGTTTTCTAACCCACGGTTACGTCAGCAAAAAGTCGCGAAGAAAGGAGTGTTCGAAATTGTTTCCTCTGCTATATATGCAACTTCGTACTCAGGCCGAAGCTGGCCTAAAATAGCGCGTGCCCAAGTGAACAATATCTTGTAGAGGGATAAACTTGCACAGCTTGGCCTTTTGAGGTTTCTTATTCTCAAGATGCCAGTCAATTCAATTTGCACCCTTGCTAATTGATGACTTTTTGTTAAAAAGACAAGGTAGCATTTGGTGATCGAAATGACAGGTTTATTGATTCGTCGCTTTCTGGCGGTCTGCGTACGTAATCGTCATACCGCCACGGGCCGCCGTGCATTTTGGCCTTGTCCAGCACGCAGACATATAACATTGCAGTTCACCACTTAAAGGACGCAATAACAAACTTCTTTTTGGTTGAAAAGTTATTTATGTGTGAGAAACACATAGTTATTTAGATCAGCTTTAATTTCAGATAAATGTGTTTGAGGTTCTTTCAAATCGAAGGCACATGTGCCTCTTGAGTATAAAGACGCCGGGAAAAATTTTCACAGCATCTTTCAGACATTTTTACGCGCATTTACTTATGATGCAGATCTTTAAGGTGATCAGCCCTTCATTGACGCTCTCAAATATTCAGTCAGTAGCGAAATACATTCGTATTGTCATGAATACTTTCTTTTGTATGAAGATCACATAACCGCTTGAGACCGACAGATGAGGATGATTCTCGACACTACCCCAGCTGTTGAGCAGACCTGCGGAAACGTGATTTTTGTGCGCTGTTTCTCAGTGCGAAACACCGGGACATGGAGTGTGCCGAAATGGAATGTGTGCTCACATGATGCATCTGAAGGCGAATACATGAAATGTGCAGAAAGAAAGAGATATTAAATGGCATTCTAAATAATCTTATGCACAATGCCTCTCTGCCAAAAGAAATACAGATGCAATTATGTTCCCAATTACACATAAATAGTGCGGAGAACAGACAAAGAGTTTTTATATTCTTAACATACAACGCATTTACACATTAGCACGCATGAGTTCTAATCTTTGCAAAGTACTGCCCTGGAAGGCTGTTGTTATAATCGGGTTAACATGTCCTTCTTTTGGGCATTCCCGTTACAACTCTCAAGTAATAATGCTGTTGGAGGGAAAGAATATTGTGTTTCAGAAATGAAACAGCAGTAAGGGCCTAACTATCCAAATTGTCTCTGCACCAGATAGCTTTCTTCTGTAGGACTAGTAACTTGTCAAGGTTAGTTCCTGTTGTTGTTCCCCAAATTAATAAACAGTAGTTAAGATGGGAGTGTAACAATGCATAATATAATTCACGTTTCAACCAAAAAGGAGGAGTAGCGTAACTTTAAACAAAATGCCGATAGATTTAGAAGTCTTTGTAGGAAGGTGTTCCACATGTCGAGACCAAGTTAAACTCTCATCGAACCAAATACCAAGACATTTATGCAACCTAACCTTCTCAATAATTGTGCTTTCAAAATTTACGTTTATATGATAGTTAATAGGTTTTTTAGGCTTAAAAATAATATATTTTTTCTTGCCAGTGTTCAACTGAAGATTGTTGGACTGCAACCATAGTGGTAAATTATTTAACCAGTCATTTGACATAGTTCCTAGCTTCCTTAGGTTTGAATCAGAAAAAAATGAAAGCCATTTACAACACCCTGTAACGCCGAATTAGAGTGCAGCTTTTGAGGAGGAGGATGGAAAGGTACTGAAGGGTGAGTATACCCCTCTTCCCCCCTCCCCCGCCCCCGTCATCCCGCCTGCTACTCCGCCACGGGGCCACGTGGCCTTACCGGAAATACGTGGCCCCCGTGAGGTCACGTGACCTCAGGCGGGTCACGTGACCTCGGGGGGGGGGGGGGGTCACGTGACCTCACGGTTACGCCGACGGCGACGCCGCTCAAGCCGGAAACGGGCGCCTAAGAGCTGCGCTTTAAAAATGCATTCTAGTCATCTGCGTGCAAAAGAATGTCTGGTGTACGTGGCAGATGTCATTTAAGTACAATAGAAATAACAATGGACCAAGAAGAGATCCTTGTGGTACAGCGTAAGTAACTGATTCAAGCTGAGAACGCATGCCATTTATAATGTATATTGCGAACGTTTCTATATTGATAATAATCTTATTTTTTATATGCAATAAAGCCATTTTCGTTGATTTATTCTTTTGAAACCCATATTGTTGACTTGCAATTAAATTATTTGCACTAAGAAAGTGTGTGAGTCTCGTGAATATGAGCATCTCCAAAATGTTTAGAAAACACAGATAAAACCGATATGGGTCGGTAATTGCTCAGGTTGTTTAGCGCTCCACCTTTGTTCAAAACGTAAAAGCAGGCTATTTTCATTCTGCCTGGAAAAATGCCCTTGCTCAAAACGGCATTAAATATATAGGCGAGTGGTCCGGATATTAAATGAGACGCAGCTTTAATTGGTTCGGCTTTTAGCTCATCCTCGCCAGCTGCAGTGCTATTAGACAAGCTGTTAAGCATGGAAAAAATTTCGGCTTTGCTTGTAGGTGACAAGAAGACAGAACTTGATACATCTGCCAAGACGTACGCTTCCGCTCTTTCGACGCTAATGGAGGACGGTGATGCACTGTGGCTACAAAATCAGTGTTGCACTTATTCAGCAGCGAATTTAACAAATATAATTGTATCATGTTGACAGTAATTTTCCATTGAACTTATGTGGTGTCCCAAAAACGGTTAAGTTTAAACAAAATTTGGAGGTGGTGGAAGATTGTGGAAGAACCTGGTAGTGACATTAATCTGAGACATTAGACTGGCTGCCAGCGTTCAGCTGCCCCTCTGAGGCTACCAGAATCTTTATTTTCAGGTGCTCTTCCCATACAAACCCCTAGCTTATTTAACTTCGGAATAATAGGTCAAAATTGGTCGTTCCAATGCTTCTATTGCCAGAGACAACTTTCTGAAGCAGTTCAGTAAAAACGAAAGCATGTTTGGGTGCCTCAGTGGTGTCTACATATA